AAGTGACCATGTCTTTTTGGGAATAAAGTATGCAATGCGTTATAAGCTGGAAGAAAATAAGGAGGTTGAAGCAGTTGAAAAACCAGACTTCAGGAGAGGACATTATGGTGACCTTAGAAATTTTTTTAGTGAGTATAATTGGACAGACTTGATGCTAGGCAAGGAAGTGAATGAGATGTATGGCAAGTTTTGTGAAATATATGATAAAGGCACAAAAAAATTTATACCAAAACAGAGATGCAGAACTAGGAAACAGGATTGGTTCAATAGAAATTGCGAGAGGGCTAGAGACCGAAAGACACAAAAATGGAATCAATACAGGAAGAGGCCGAACCCCCAAACATACCAGCGATACAAAGATGCGAGAAACAACTACACGGCAGTGAGGAGAGAGGCAGAAAGAAATTTTGAAAAAGGGATTGCGGACAAATGTAAAACAGAACCAGGTCTATTCTATAAATTCATAAACAACAAATTGCAGGTAAAGGATAATATTCAGAGGTTGAAAATGGGAAATAGATTCACGGAAGATGAAAAGGAAATGTGTGAAACACTAAACGAAAAGTTCCAAAGTGTGTTTGTACAAAATGAAATCTTTAGGGAACCAGATACAATAAGAATTCCAGAGAACAACATAGAACACATAGAGGTGTCTAGAGACGAAGTGGAAAAAATGCTCAAGGAGCTCGGTAAGAACAAAGCAGCTGGCCCAGATGGCGTTTCACCATGGGTTCTGAGAGAATGTGCATCTGAGCTCAGCATTCCACTTCACCTGATCTTTCAGGCATCCCTGTGTACAGGAATCGTAGCAGACGGGTGGAAACAGGCTAACATAGTTCCAATCTACAAAAGTGGCAGCAGGGAAGACCCCCTCAATTATAGACCTGTATCATTGACAAGTGTAATAGTGAAAGTATTGGAAAAACTAATCAAAACTAAATGGGTAGAACACCTAGAGAGAAATGATATAATATCAGACAGACAGTATGGTTTTCGATCTGGAAGATCCTGTGTATCGAATTTACTCAGTTTCTATGATCGAGCCACAGAGATATTACAGGAAAGAGATGGTTGGGTTGACTGCATCTATCTGGACCTAAAAAAGGCTTTCGACAGAGTTCCACATAAGAGGTTGTTCTGGAAACTGGAAAATATTGGAGGGGTGACAGGTAAGCTTCTAACATGGATGAAAAATTTTCTGACTGATAGAAAAATGAGGGCAGTAATCAGAGGCAATGTATCGGAATGGAGAAATGTCACAAGTGGAGTACCACAGGGTTCAGTTCTTGCACCAGTGATGTTTATTGTGTACATAAATGATCTACCAGTTGGTATACAGAATTATATGAACATGTTTGCTGATGATGCTAAGATAATAGGAAGGATAAGAAATTTAGATGACTGTCATGCCCTTCAAAAAGACCTGGACAAAATAAGTATATGGAGCACCACTTGGCAAATGGAATTTAATGTTAATAAATGTCATGTTATGGAATGTGGAATAGGAGAACATAGACCCCACACAACCTATATATTATGTGAGAAATCTTTAAAGAATTCTGATAAAGAAAGAGATCTAGGAGTGGTTCTAGATAGAAAACTATCACCTGAGGACCACATAAAGAATATTGTGCAAGGAGCCTATGCTATGCTTTCTAACTTCAGAATTGCATTTAAATACATGGATGGCGATATACTAAAGAAATTGTTCATGACTTTTGTTAGGCCAAAGCTAGAATATGCAGCTGTTGTGTGGTGCCCATATCTTAAGAAGCACATCAACAAACTGGAAAAGGTGCAAAGACATGCTACTAAGTGGCTCCCAGAACTGAAGGGCAAGAGCTACGAGGAGAGGTTAGAAGCATTAAATATGCCAAAACTAGAAGACAGAAGAAAAAGAGGTGATATGATCACTACATACAAAATAGTTACAGGAATTGATAAAATCGACAGGGAAGACTTCCTGAGACCTGGAATTTCAAGAACAAGAGGTCATAGATTTAAACTAGCTAAACACAGATGCCGAAGAAATATAAGAAAATTCACCTTCGCAAATAGAGTGGTAGACGGTTGGAACAAGTTAAGTGAGAAGGTGGTGGAGGCCAAGACCGTCAGTAGTTTCAAAGCGTTATATGACAAAGAGTGCTGGGAAGACGGGACACCACGAGCGTAGCTCTCATCCTGTAACTACACTTAGGTAATTACACTTAGGTAATTACACTGAGCTCAGCATTCCACTTCACCTGATCTTTCAGGCATCCCTGTGTACAGGAATCGTAGCAGACGGGTGGAAACAGGCTAACATAGTTCCAATCTACAAAAGTGGCAGCAGGGAAGACCCCCTCAATTATAGACCTGTATCATTGACAAGTGTAATAGTGAAAGTATTGGAAAAACTAATCAAAACTAAATGGGTAGAACACCTAGAGAGAAATGATATAATATCAGACAGACAGTATGGTTTTCGATCTGGAAGATCCTGTGTATCGAATTTACTCAGTTTCTAGGATCGAGCCACAGAGATATTACAGGAAAGAGATGGTTGGGTTGACTGCATCTATCTGGACCTAAAAAAGGCTTTCGACAGAGTTCCACATAAGAGGTTGTTCTGGAAACTGGAAAATATTGGAGGGGTGACAGGTAAGCTTCTATCATGGATGAAAAATTTTCTGACATAGAAAAATGAGGGCAGTAATCAGAGGCAATGTATCGGAATGGAGAAATGTCACAAGTGGAGTACCACAGGGTTCAGTTCTTGCACCAGTGATGTTTATTGTGTACATAAATGATCTACCAGTTGGTATACAGAATTATATGAACATGTTTGCTGATGATGCTAAGATAATAGGAAGGATAAGAAATTTAGATGATTGTCATGCCCTTCAAGAAGACCTGGACAAAATAAGTATATGGAGCACCACTTGGCAAATGGAATTTAATGTTAATAAATGTCATGTTATGGAATGTGGAATAGGAGAACATAGACCCCACACAACCTATATATTATGTGAGAAATCTTTAAAGAATTCTGATAAAGAAAGAGATCTAGGAGTGGTTCTAGATAGAAAACTATCACCTGAGGACCACATAAAGAATATTGTGCAAGGAGCCTATGCAATGCTTTCTAACTTCAGAATTGCATTTAAATACATGGATGGCGATATACTAAAGAAATTGTTCATGACTTTTGTTAGGCCAAAGCTAGAATATGCAGCTGTTGTGTGGTGCCCATATCTTAAGAAGCACATCAACAAACTGGAAAAGGTGCAAAGACATGCTACTAAGTGGCTCCCAGAACTGAAGGGCAAGAGCTACAAGGAGAGGTTAGAAGCATTAAATATGCCAAAACTAGAAGACAGAAGAAAAAGAGGTGATATGATCACTACGTACAAAATCGTAACAGGAATTGATAAAATCGACAGGGAAGACTTCCTGAGACCTGGAACTTCAAGAACAAGAGGTCATAGATTTAAACTAGCTAAACACAGATGCCGAAGAAATATAAGAAAATTCACCTTCGCAAATAGAGTGGTAGACGGTTGGAACAAGTTAAGTGAGAAGGTGGTGGAGGCCAAGACCGTCAGTAGTTTCAAAGCGTTATATGACAAAGAGTGCTGGGAAGACGGGACACCACGAGCGTAGCTCTCATCCTGTAACTACACTTAGGTAATTACACTTAGGTAGTTACTCAGTACTTTGGAAGTGAGCAATAATCAACGAAGTAGTCCATGGTACACAGCACGACATCGCTCTCAGTGCACCAGGTACAGATAAATTTTTGCTTCCTGTTTCTTCATTCTGTGTGCTTGCAAATAACACACTCACGTACACCCTTGGCTTTAGTACTTGTAGGTTGTATGTAGCCAAGCTTGTAAAGCATAAGGTAGTATTGAAAAAATCAATTTGTAAGGTAGTCTTGAAAAGATCGCTTTGTATGGTCCCACACAGGAAGAGATTCAGCTTGCCTCAAAGTGTGTTCATCAGTCAGGAAGAGATTCAGGTATTCTTGAAAATATCTATGGAAAACACCACCATGGAAGCCGCTAACACTGTTCATCTATGCTACTTGAATCAGATGTATCATCGCTGAATGCAGAAATCAATTCATCTATGTATCATCTAAATAAATTGGAGATAGCATAGGATTGCAAGGGTGATGCTCAGAGCTACAACTGGATACGCTCGCTGTATCGTCCTCATAGGTGCTGTATCACTTGCATCCGACCTTTGTGGTAGGTCCTTATTGCGCCTAGCTTCACCAATGTTATGACCGTTATGTTTTTTTCAAACAATAAGATTTGAATTACACCGACAGAGCGTTATCTCTCAACACCGCGTCGGACAGGTGTTTGGGAGCCAGAGGCGAGTGCGTCACCCATGGTTGCTCATTCAGTACTAACCCAGCCAGCAGCCCTAGGGCATTCTGGGAATTTTTTCCAAGATGGCTGCCTCTCACTGGAGGTCCTAAAAGTCCCTTTCGTACACAACCAACCTCGTAGACATTTGGAATTGGTACCGAAAAATCAAAAAGAGTTTTCTCGGTTGGCGCAGTTTCTCGCCGACCGAGAATACTCGGTTGGTGCAGTTAAGTGGTTAATCTTTGTTAAATTACCAATCAAGCAGTCAATGCAATCAATCAGAGCTACCGATGTACTTTAATATACCTATTAATCTCTCTCATCTCTTTTTTTTTTTTTAGCAATGTACCTGTTATTTTATAAATTTTGCTAGAATTTACCTACTTAAAATTAACTGTTAGATTAAGGACCTGCCCAAAGCGCTGCGCGTACTAGTGGCTTTACAAGAATATAAACACCATGCTATGTATCCTCACATACCCAACGTACCTTCTTGTATATATACTGTATAAATAAATAAATAAATAAATTAATTAAATAATTATATCTATTATTTTGTAACATTGTAGGCCAAGATTATAATAATTAAATTTTTATTTATTATATTGTAAACAAAATAAAATAAAGGGAACTGAAACTCACAATCTCTCCCAGTAATACCACATTTTCTCCACGGATGACAAAAACTCCACGATCAATGTCCCCATATCGAGTTCCTACGTGGATACGCTCTATGGTGCGATGAAGAACTAAGTTTGCGAATTGGTCAACACTCCGTAAATAACCAATGAGTGTTCTCCCATCTCGCAAGTAGACCATTAACTTTTCTGCAGGGAAACGGTGAAAGTTAGATGAAAATCTGAAATAGCCAACAAAATTACTATATGCTCATCTTGTAATGGATGTCAATACCATTAATAAACTTAAATGTTAAATTATAATGAGTAAATAGGTAGGGGCAACAGAAATAAAATTACAATATCACTACACGAGGTTCACATCAGCTTCCTCAGAGCTCTTGTAAACAGACACCATTTTTTTTTAAATTTTGGGCAACATTTCCAGGTGTGAGAGCCTCAATACTGACTGAGCAACCATGGTTGGCACATGCAGCATGAGCAAACAGCATTGCTGTTCATCTTGTGACAACAGCATTGTCTAAAAATGTAAAAATCCAGCATCCTGGAGGCTCCCCGTAGCTATCTAGGCTGAATGGATATGTATAACTTTCTGGCATCATTCAATGCATGGAGCAAAATTTTCTCCCAAGCTGTCAATCCCCAGCCTGACCAACCAAGAAGCAACCCAAGGACCCCTCCAGAAAACAGCAGACCCAAACATCATCCAAAAACAAGGAGACTGCAGCAAATGAACAACCTACCACCAAGACCAAACGAGCAGAAAAAATATGGGTGCTAGAGGAGAGCCGGAAACTCCCTGACCCGACCCCCAGAGGTCAACGCCAACAGGAAAAGGAGACCCAAAAAAACAAAAAACACCATAACCGAAGGGGACCCGACAAACCAAGAAGAAAGAAGAGAGCTTACCTGGGCCAACGACGCATGAGCAGGCTGGAGGTGAAACAATCCACTAGACAGCTAGCGGAACAGAGCTGAAGGAACAGTAATTCCGAACGCAAACTGGAGCGTTCCCGCCAGCGCCCCCCTCCCCCCAGAAGAGGCGACAGTATTCAGCACCAGATGGCAGTCCTGGAACAACCACAAAGGGAGGGACACGACAACCCTATCAGAGACTGAAGTCCACTTACGCAGTGATAGGGAAACCAGAAGGACCACCAGGAAACTACACACTGCTGCCAAGATGAAGCACACAGGTGGGAGACCAACAACAATCCCACCAGTGCCCACACAAGTGACGAGAAACTCACGACAAAAACTCCGAGACACAAAGACTCGATGGGAATAACGAACCAGCCTCGTACTGGGCTGAACTGATCCGCAAAAAGAGTCTTCCTGCGGGAAGACTCTCAGGATTGCACACCGAGCAAGCAGTGCCCCCAACCAAGACTGGCAAAGAACCAGAAATAAGACCTGCCAGGGAACCAGGAACCCAAACCCCGCGAGCCGGGAAGGAACCAACCCAAGCGAGCAGACACGCCCCATCCGAGAGGAATCCCCCACCTCCCGGACCTCTGAAGGACCAACAAAGCCCAAAATAAATGGCAACGAAAAGAATTCACTTGCCGAACGAGCCGAACTGCAGTAACCGCAACAGCAAAGACCAAATGGCTACGAAAACTGAAGAGCCTGGTCACGGCAGAGGCCAAACGAAAAAAACGAGCACCACGAACCGAATCGTGAGATGTGAAGCGAAAAACAGTGACCCCTGGGAGCCGGTCGGCCGAGCGGACAGCACATTGGACTTGTGATCCTGTGGTCCCGGGTTCGATCCCGGGCGCCGGCGAGAAACAATGGGCAGTTTCTTTCACTCTATGCCCGTTGCCTAGCAGTAAAATAGGTACCTGGGTGTTAGTCAGCTGTCACGAGCTGATTCCTGGGGGTGAAGGCCTGGTCGAGGACTGGGCTGCTGGGACACTAAAGCCCCGAAATCATTTGAAGATAGCCTCAAGATAACCACAACTCGCAGGAGCAGCGCAACCAGCTCCAGAAGGGAAGAACAACGCATGCGTCTCGGAGTTATATATGAGACCTACTCAGGACATGTACCGCACTAACAACCAAAATGTACGTTCTGGAAAAGAAACACAAAGCCGTTACCAGGACTGTAATCCTAGCTCCTCCTGTCCTAACATAAAGGAACCATAGGGGCAGGAGCAGTTGATCGGAAATCTACATCCACCCGCAGAGATTGCAACATAGAAGCAGGCAGTGACATGTAAGGAAAAATCGAAAGAACTCGGTTCCATAACTGAACACCGAGGCAGTCCAAAATCAGGGAACTAAATATGTACAGATGCCAACCTAGCCCCAACACCAGTGCAGCCAATAAGCACCTACCCAGAAACACAAAAGGACTATGGACAGGACCACACCACAAGGCACAGCACTGAAATAAGTCTGGAGCCAGAGTCGCATGACCGCCAGGTCTTACATCAGCCACAGAACTAAAGGCGTGGAAAGCCGGCATGGGGGGTCTGGGGTTCCCCATTCCCGTTCCCTGGCAGGGGGAGCTACACAGACAGCGGCATGGTGACAATTGTGACGTCATACTTGTTTGCTCATTTTTTCGCTTGGAGAAGTTCTGTCCAACATTTTGGCTTTCAGTAGCAATATTTTAACCAGATAGGATTTGTTTTGGGGCACCTACATTTCTGGGTGCCTGACCTGGTCAATGGCAGACATAGAATGCTTCCAACCACACGTGGGCTTTCTACAGACCATTGTTTCTCGTGCCTCTGAGGGAAGCCAGGTTCTGGCTCATGGTCCCCAGTAGGCCTAAGAACTCCATTCGCTTGACTGATGCCAGGGTCTAATACATTCATTTATATCAGCCCAGATAGCTCTGGGGAGCCGAAGGGGCTCCTCCCAGAAAGAATGATAGTAATTACATGATGGATGGAACAGCAGAAATTGAAACAGAACAGCAGAAGCAATTTTAACTACTGTATATAAACAGAAGACTAAAATTTTCTTCAAGCTTGTACATGGCAGATATCAGCAGTTAAACAATAATCAATATTGTTAGAGAATAGCAAGATATAGGTTGACATTTAGGCGATAAGGTGGGTTACATGGAGTTTATTAGGTAGTACAGTACTTATTTTTTCTCTTAAACTGGTAGAGAGGGGTACAGTTTATGACATGATTGGGAAGGTCATTCCACATTCTGGGTCTCTTAATTTGCCAAGAGACCCTCAGACCCTTAACCAAACATTTCTAGTTTGGTTAAATCACACTCTTGGATTATCAAATAGGTATTTGTTTCTAGTGTGGTGCCTACGGCTGCTATTATAACCTTCTAGGAAGCATTTAAGGTCTGGATTGGCATTACAGTTCAAAGTTTTAAATATACTGTAGAAGCTCGATAATCTGGGGCCCGCCAATCTGGAGAACGCCCTAATCCGGGAAAAATAGCAACCTGATAAACTTGTTTCCCTATCCGGCCAGAATGTCCATAGAAGCCGGACTAGCGGATATTTGACCTGATCAGCGTATACTGATAGAGTTTGAAGCTTAAAAATCTCTCCAAAACCAAAGGTCTACTTGCCGCAGAATATAACACGTGAACCTTTACCACAGAGATAAACAAGTGAAACACTGGGCCTAACACTCATTGTACACCACTACCAGGAAAGGAGAGAGTCAGGCAGGCTTCAGGCAAGCAGGGAGGCTAGAGTGGGTGTGGGTGTCAGGACGTGGGTGTCAGAGGGTGGGTGCCAATGGTTGGGTGTAAGGAGTGGGTGTCAGGGATGGGTGGGTGTGGTGGGTGTCAGGGGTGGGCATCAGAGGTGTGACAGGAGTGGGTGTCAGGAGTGGGTGGGTGTGGTGGGTGGGATTGTGGTGGGTGTCTGAGGTGTGTGTCAAAAGTGGGTGGGTGTGGTGGATGGGATTGTGGTGGGTGTCAGGAGTGGGTGGGTGTGGTGGGTGTCAGGGGTGGGTGTCAAGGGTGGGTATGGTAATCACACCCAACACCCCACCCACCAGGGAGGGTGGGGTGGGGGTGTTGGGTATGGAGAGGAGTAAATTGTGTACAGGACTGGTGTTAAACCTACTAGTGTGGTGGTCGGGTCTCTCTCTGACCCTCTGGGTCATGGCGCAGTTGTTTAATCATTTAATTTTTTAATATTAAAATATTAAACTAGTTACAAATATTAAACTAGTTACGAATATTTAAAACCTCACCATAATATTTGAAAAGAATTAATTAGGTATTTATTCATTTAAATCATCCAAGCAGTCCCCGTGGTGTAGTGGTTAAGACGCTCGCCTGGTGTTTCGCGAGTGCTTTGTCCTGGGTTCGTATCCTGGCCGGGGAAAATTTACTGGGCGCAAATCCTTAACTGTAGCCTCTGTTTAACTCAACAGTAAAATGAGTACCTGGTTGTTAAACGATTTTACGCGAAGTCATATTCCAGGGAACACAAGATTAAGGACTTGCCCGAAACACTATGCGTACTAGTGGCTACGTATACAAGAATGTAAGAACTCTTGTATACAGTATATAAATAAATAAATAAATAAATAAAAAAAATTTACAATAAAATAAAATGGGATTTAACACAAGGCACATACAGTATTTTGATATCATACAGCAAGTGAGTATGTTGTCATCACTTGTGACAAGGGTTAGGAAGGTGATGGGTGGAGGGGGGTGGAGGGAGGTATGGATAGGGAGAGTCACCCATCTCCTGCTTGTGTTGTATTCACCTAGTTGTACTCACCTAGTTGTGCTTGCAGGGGTTGAGCTCTGCTCTTTTGGCCCGCCTCTCAACTGTTACTAACTTTTTTTTTTTTTTTTTGCTTGTGTTGTGTGGCCACATGCCTGACTGCTCCTGCCCATCCAAATCTGCCTGCCCACCCACCCATCTGACCCACGAACCCATACCTTACCTTGAGGTTACCTTGAGGTGCTTCCGGGGCTTAGCGTACCTGTGGCCCGGTCGTCGACCAGGCCTTCTGGTTGCTGGACTGATCAACCCTCGCAGCCTGACGTATGAGCCATCTGCCTACTCACATGTCAACCACCAAGCACATCTACCTGCCATCCACCCATCCAGAACATGCTTGCCCACCCACCCACCTGACCTGCCTGCCCACTTACCAATCCCAACTGCCTGCCATCCACCCATCCATACACCAAACTGAACCTACCTGCCCACTTACCAGCCAGACAGCTAACTACCCACCCAGCCCCACACACTAATTATAGTGTGTGGCAATTCAAATTATGTTGCTTGTGGTACATAAATGTTTATACCATGTTTGTACCATTTCCAAAAATGGTACAAACATTTTTGGAAATGTTCATTTTTGGACTTCTGCTGTGAAAGTCAGTTAATCCGGAAAAACGGGCTCATCCGGCAAGGGGTCCTTCCCATATAGTCCGGATTAGCTAACTTCTACAGTATCGAGTACACTTGAGAGGATGTGCAGTGACTGAATATCCAACATACTCAAAGATTTAAGTATGGGGCCGAGTGCTGACTGGGGCCGAGTGCTGACTGGGGCCGAGTGCTGACTGGGGCCGGAGTTTGTTATTGTTCTAATAGCAGATTTGTGTTGAGTAATTAAATAAAATAAATAAATAAATAAATATGTTTATTCAGGTAAGGTACATACATACATACAAGTGATGTTACATTAATGGATTGATATATAGATAGAGCTAGTACATACAATGCCTAAAGCCACTATTACGCAATGCGTTTCGGGCAAGAAACGGGCAATTAGAGGGCATAGATGATTTTGGGTAGTAGACCCCCAAGCACAGATACCATAATTAAGATAATGATAGATGAGAGAATAATAAAACATTAATAGGGTAGGGTAGGGCAAGGTACATAATATCTGATTTTAGAATTACTAATTTGGATATTGTTTATGCTTAGATTAATTTGATCTGAGGATTCATTACCAAACAAAAAATAGAAGGTTTTGTCAATGTTAAGGGTGAGTTTGTTGGCACTTATCCAAAGATAGACTTGATTTAGTTCAGTATTCACTGTCATTCAAAATAAGAGGGTTAGGACTAAAGAAAATGAAGGTTAGTGTCATCAGCAAATAAAATTGGCTTGAGATATTGAGAGGCATTTGGAAGGTTATTAATGTAGATGAGAAAGAGGAGAGCGCCAAATATACTGGCCTGTGGGACACCAATGTTGATGGCAGGGTGGGAGAAATGGAATCATTCACAGAAACATACTGGAACCTGTCACTAAGGTAAGACTGAAAGTATTGGAGGGAGTGACCTCTGACTCCATAATGATGTAATTTAAGACGAAGGTTGTGGTGGTTAACAGTGTCAAAAGCCTTATGTAGGTCAACAAATAACCCAACAGGGAACTCATTTTTATCAAGAGCTGGAACGCTTGATAAAAAAGTGCTTTTATTGGGTCTGAAGTTATATTAGAAAGAGCTAAGTGTATTGTGTTTAGTTAGATAATAGTATAGCTGCTTATAGATTAGCTTTTCAAATATTTTAGACAAGGTAGGCAGAATTGATATAGGTCTGAAATTGTTGACATCAGTGAGATCACCACATTTGTGGACTCGAGGTTACTCTCGCTTTTTTTTTTAGAATATCCAGAAAGGTTTGGAGTTCAAGGTTTGCTTTGTTTTAGAGCAATGCGAGCGAGCATCAGAAATATTACAGGAAGAACCGTGGACATCTTCAAGAGGAAACTAGATTGTTTCCTTCAAGGAGTGCCGGACCAACTGGGCTGTGGTGGGTAAGTGGGCCTGTGGGCCACTCCAAGCAACAGCCTGGTGGACCAAACTCTCACAAGTCAAGTCTGGCCTCGGGCGGGGCTTGGGGAGTAGAACAACTCCCAGAACCCCATCAACCAGGTATCAACCAGGTAATGCAATGGCCAGAGCTAGAAATCTAGATGCTTTTCTGTATATTAGAGTCGATATCTCAGCAAGGGCACTTGACTTTGTTTTAAGAGAAAGGATTATCTCATTAACATCAGAGGAAATAGTAGGAGTTAGGCACAGAGACTCAGTATAGTTTCCTGTAAGGTAGTCCTAAGGGCAACATTAAGAAAACATGGAGCACTATCTCCCAAATATTAGGATCAAAGAAGATCTTGAATCATCATTGAATGGAGCCAATACTCCTATCCAATGATGGTGTGCTTTCTGCCTCTGACACTACCATTAAATTCAATAGTTTCTTCTTATCCATTGGCACATCCCTTGCTAATGATATTCCATCTTCCCCAACTAATGTTAATTTGAGCAAATTTATTTTCACAGTTTTTTTTTTGGCTCTCCTAATTATTTTGGACAGCATTGAAACTTCTTTGAAGATGACCCCCCTAACCTATACTTTTTCGCATGGTCATATTTTTATTAATAGATTGAAGTATACCCTTAGTAAGCCATGGATTGTTTAACCTTTTAGTTGTGATTTGTTTAGTTAGCATTGGACAGTGGGTATTATAGAGGTTCAGAGTTTTGTGAAGAAATGTTTGCACCGCTAGGTTGATGATCACTATGT